CCATCCTCAACTTCACATTCGTCGACGACAACTCGCAGGACCCGGTGACGGTGCCGAATTTTGTGATCTCCATCTACGACTTTGACAGGGGCTGCAGCGGCCAGTCGGCTGGCTTGCGTAACAAAACGTGCGATGGCGGCAGCTTTGATCTCGGCGAGGTTGTGATGGCCAAGAGCTCGACCGCAGACCCCGCGCAAGGCTTTGACGCGTACATCACGTCCGGCGGCACGTCAGAGATTGAGATTGGCGCCGTCACTGGCGGCTGGACGAGCTTCAGCGCCACACTTGCGGGAACCGGAGCTGACAACCCTGGTACCGTTCAAGGCCTGACTGAGGACCAGCTGAACAAGGCTGTGAGCCTCTACTACAGCAACACATCGAGCTTTCAGCTTAGAGTCCGCCTGTTCCCTCCCCCCGCCTTCAATGCAACCTTCACCGACACCGGGAGGAACATCTTGCTGTCGGGCGTGGTGTTGGACTTTCCGGGTTGTCCGCCACCTATACCGCCGTCCGCCTCGCCCTCGCCGCCGCCTCCCTCCGCCTCACCATCTCCGCCGCCTCCCTCAGCATCGCCGTCGCCCCCGCCGCCGTCCGTCTCGCCCTCGCCGCCGCCGCCCCCAGCATCGCCGTCACCCCCGCCGGCATCCGTGTCGCCGTCGCCGCCGCCTCCCTCGGCATCGCCCTCGCCCCCGCCGCCGTCCGCCTCGCCCTCGCCGCCGCCACCCTCCGCCTCACCATCTCCGCCGCCTCCGTCCGCCTCGCCCTCGCCGCCGCCTCCCTCGACCTCGCCGTCACCACCGCCTCCGTCCGCCTCGCCCTCGCCGCCGCCTCCCTCCACCTCACCGTCACCACCGCCTCCGTCTCCACCCCCGCCCTCGCCGCCGCCTCCCTCCACCTCACCGCCACCACCGCCTCCGTCTCCACCCCCGCCATCGCAGCCATCTCCTTCCTCGAAGCCGGCGCCACCTCCCCCGTCTTTGCCTGATCCATGCTACAGTTAGATCGGACCTTGAGGGCCCCGATCAACTTCCCTTCCAGCACATATTGTACAATGACCTCAACGGAGTGGGGCCGACCACCACTGACCCAACGCAAATCCTTGTCTCGAACCGCGGGTCCACGACCGCCACGTCTGGAGTCACAATGGCCATGCACATCATGTCCAAGTCGGTGTACCAAGCCCACAAGCCGAATCAGAATGGACCCCATGCGAAGGGTTTCTTCGTCC